GTCTATCCGTTTATGGGATGTTAAGACAGGATAATAAAAAGCCAAATTAGATGGTCATTCTTTTGGTGTTACTTCAATTTGTTACTCTCCTGATGGTAATAAATTAGCATCTGGTAGTGGTGATAACTCTATCCGTTTATGGGATGTTAAGACAGGATAATAAAAAGCCAAATTAGATGGTCATTCAGATTATGTTAGGTCAATTTGTTACTCTCCTGATGGTACTACATTAGCATCTGGTAGTGCAGATAAGTCTGTCCGTTTATGGGATGTTAAGACAGGATAATAAACAGCCTAATTAGATGGTCATTCATCAACAGTTTATTCAGTCAATTTCTCATCTGATGGAAATACAATAGCTTCTGGTAGTGATGATAACTCTATTCGTCTTTGGAATGTAAAAACATCAAACGAAATACTCCAATCAGATAGCAGCTATAAAGATTTGCTTTCCTAGTTCAACATACCTCTTCAGAATAGCTCCTTCTTGCCAAATGGTATTTATTATTCATTATTATTTAGTTAATCCTGATCGTACAATACTTAGAATCTGTTAGAATCCCTTATTAGAAGCATCAGGAACACTTATCCTATAAGGACAATTCATTAATCATTAAGGGAAAGATTTAAAACCATTGTTTAAATCCAAAGGATGTTGCTTTTTAGAAGATTTAAAGCAAAAGAAGTGAATTTGAATATTCATTAAAAACATTACAATTATAATTTTAATCATTTTCTTAAAACTTTTTGAATAATATTTGTTTTTTGTTACTATTTAAATATTTGGATAATATTGAGATGTTAGAAAAAACGTTTATACATTCATATTTATAGATGTACAATACAATATTAAATTTATAATGTAAACAGAGTAAACAGGTTTAGTCGTAATAAAGATTATTAATAGTTTAGTAAAATTTAGATCTTTAGTTTAGAAAAAGGTAATGATAAAATTAATAACAAAGATAAGAAGAAAGATACATTTAAATAATTTAAAAAATAAAATGAAACTTACTAATAATCTTAAATGATAAAAAAGTTAAACATTACATTGGGATTGAATTACTCTGCTCTAATATTGGTAATATTTTCCTAACCTTGTTATTTATTATTTTCAATTGATATTAAAAGTATTAGAGAGAATAAAGGACTGAAAAGATATATTAATCATCAATAAATATTCCAACCCCTAGAGATCTTTATTATATCCATCCCAAAAAATAATCTTAAATAAGCTCTATAAGAATTACATCCAAAGTAGCTACTTTCAATAATAATTTTGCATATAAGGAACACTTATTAATCATTAAGATAACAACTATGTAATTTTTCCTCAAACTGATTTTTTTTACGAATTAATTAATATCTACGCAACGATAATATCAGTCAACTAGTTCAATTTTATTAATTGATTATGAAATTAAGAAATTACTCAGATTAGATATTCATAAACAATATGGATAATGTTAAAAAAATAACAAAATTTTTCTTCTCTATAACTTTGAGTTTAACTCAATTAGACAATAGATTTTTAGAATTAATTAAAATTTTAATTTCATAGAAATATATGTGTATTTTCTTTTAAAAAGTTTTAAGTTACTCCTTGATATATAAGTGAAATTTAAAAATAAAATTT